ATGGTGCTCGGCCTAGTGTCTCTCCCCCAGATGACATCGGATGGTAAGTGGATGACACTGGATGACATTCTATGGTCAGTGTCTGGCAGATGTTGACTACAGAGTTGCACTGGAGGACCTGGAGATTCCTAGAGAGGTGTTCTCTCAAGTAAAAACATAGTGTATTTGTTATTTGCAGTTTTTCCACGTTCACGGGGGGTCCTGTACCCCTAACCCCAGCAAATGGGGAGGAAAGAATGTAATACATTTTATGTTCCTGAAATAACAAAGTGATTTTTAATCTGTAAAGGAAACTAACATTCCCTTCCATTTTTCCCCTGAAGATTTATGGGTTGGGGGGGGGCTTTCCTCTCTATGATTTCAACATTTTCAGAAAGTTTACAATTCTACTCTTATGCAGGGTTTACTAATCACTGATGCCTCTAAGTCATTAGAATATGCTCTTGAACTCAGTCTTAAGTATGGAGACCTAGGTTTTAGCAGTGCCCAGGAGTTTGTATGGTTAAACCTAGTATACCAGCTGCATCTATTCTGGAGGGTGTCACATCTGGCCCCATTGATACATGTATTGATTCTGTTTTGTCCAAAATGCTGCAACCAGAGTGCTTACCAGAACTGATTACAATAACATGTATCTCTCATATTGGAAAAGCTTGTTGGCTATCAGTATGTTTCTGGGTGGTGATTATAACCTGTAAAGCCCTGTAAAGTTTAGATCTAGATTGTCTCAAAGAATATACTGTATTTTCTGGCATATAAGACTACTTTTTAACCCAGGAAAATCATCTCCAAAGTCAAGGGTCGTCTTATACACCGGGTGGAGGAGGAGGAGGAAGAAGGGGTGGTGCAGCACAAGGCGGGAGGAGAAGGAAGAGAGGAGGAAGGGATGACGTGAGGCAGAAGGAAGAAGCAGTAGCGGATAAGAGGTGAACCTCTATCCTGGGGTTTTCTTGGCAAGACTGGTTCAGAGGAGGTTTGCCATTGCCTTCCCCTGAGGGTGAGAGTGTGTGACTTGTCCAAGTTCACCCAGTGGGTTTCATGGCAGAGTGGGGAATCAAACCCAGGTCTCCAGAATGGTACTCCAACACTCAAACCACTACACCAGGCTGGCTCCTATTCCCATGTACTACCTATGAAACAATTGCAGACTTTTTGTCATTCTTGTGTGTCTTCAAGTCCTTTCTGACTTAAGGCAACCCTAAGGCAACTTTATCATGGGGTTTTCTTGGCATGTTTCTTCAAATGGGGGTTGCCATTACCATCCTCTGAGGCTGAGAGTGTGTGACATGCCCAGGGTCACTTACTTAGCTGCAAATTGTACATACCCCAGAGTGCATCACCTAGTATATTGGCAGTCCTTCCCCCCCAACAGACGTTCTCATCCCCCCACCTGTTGGAAGAGGGGTAGTCTTATACGGCAAGTATATCCCAAACTATATTTTACCTGGGAAAGTTGGGGTCATCTTATATGCCGGAAAATATGGTATTTCTATATGGGCCTCCTTATGTTTTAAGATCCTTGAGGAACAATTTTTCTTGCTTCCACCACCATCACTTGGTGAGGACTCTGTAGAAGGCCTTCTTGGTGGCTACTCCCAGGCTATGGAATTTCCTCCCACAGCTTTTGTTCCACTGGTATCCACTGTGGTTCTGAGAGCTGAACAGTGAAAAAAGTGGATAGAAAGAAAATAATTTAAGCAGCTTAAGCAGCTTCATTTATATACCACTTCATATCGCGCTATGGGATGCATTTGAGATGTACATTTGAGATGTACAGGAGAACAGTTCTGCAGATACCGTGGAAGGTTAAAAAGACAAATCAATGGATCCTAGAAGAAATCAGACCTAGAGGCCAAGATGACTAAATTGAGGCTATCCTACTTTAGTCACATCATGAGAAGGCATGACTCATAAGAAAAGACAATAATGCTTGGCAAAGTAGGATGCAGTAGGTAAAGAGGAAGACCACATTCCAGATGAATAGATTTGATCAAGGAGGCTGGGACCCTAGGTCTACACAAACTGAGCAGAGCTGCAGTGGATGGGATATCGTGGAAATTGCTCATTCATAGGATTGCCATAGGTCAGGGTCAGTTTGAAGGCGTCTAACAACAAAGGGCCATCATTTGATACCATTCTGCTTTTTCTACTCATAATTCAAATATTGTTTGTGGTTGGCTTGACTTTTAAGTACATATTTGGTACAACTTAGAAACTGTTACAGTCTTTATATTAGCCCAAAACAAAAGCAAATTATTAGTTATTGAAAGGAGAATGCAGAGGAAATTCAGGAGTGTCCTGACAATAATCTTATTAGCCTGGATGTGTAATGCAATCCTATTCAAGTTTACTCTTAAATAATTCCCAGTGATCTCACTGGGTGTTTTTCCGTAATAAGTGTGTTTAGAATTGCAGCTAGATAATTATGACTTAATGTCATAACATAATGACTTATGTCATAACTATTATGACTTACATCATAATAGTCCTAATGAGGAATCTGTACCCAGGGCAAGAGGCTACTGTCAGGACATAACATGGAGACACAGAATGGTTCCAAATTGGCAAAAGAGAGACTAGGCTGCATCCTATCACCCTACCTATTCAACTTATATGCAGAACATATTGTAAGGAATGCAGGCTTGGACATGGAAGAAGGAGGAATGAAAATAGGAGGAAGAAATATTAACAATCTGAGATATACAGATGACACCATAATACTAAC